CCTGAGCCCAGGAGTTTGAGGTTGCTGTGAGCTAGGCTGACGCCATGGCACTCACTCTAGCCCGGGCAACAGAGTGAGACTCTGTCTCAAAAGAAAAAAACAAGAAGTATATCATCAATAGGTACCATTAATAGAAATAGAGAAATAAGGAGAAAGCCTTTTTCAAGGTAGAAAAGATGATGAGTTATGTTTTAGAGAAAGTACATTCAAGACACTAACAGGTATAAATAACCAAAGGCATTGGAAATAAGGAACTGAACACCAAGGGAGGAATTTGGGAATAATTTGGAACGTGATAGGTGAAGCATAGCAGCGAATGTGATCACTCAGAGCTTGTAGAGAAAATGGGGGTAGAGGACAAACTGTAGAACCTCCCACCCCTCTCCCCTATTTAAGGAGTAGAAATGAAAACAAGTCCTTGGAAACAGCATAAATGTTCAGAAGGGTAGGTGAGGTAGTAGGATATCACAACCTAAAGAAGAGAAAATTTCAAGGAAAAAAGGCTTGAGCAACGATATATGTAATAAAGAGGTTACAGAAGTTGGTGGGGGGCATTTACTTTGTCAAATAACAGTTTTATTGGTGAAATTACAAGTAATCATTTTAGAAATATGGGGATGGGAGGAAAGATATGTAAACCAGATTTGAAGAAGTAAAAGGAATGAGCAGGAGAAATGAAAGAAGAAAAAAAGGGGATACACAGAAATTTTTAGGTGAATAGGTTGGTACAGTCTCACACAATTTTATAAGAAAAGGAGGTAACTAAATAGGTCTGTAATGGAAGGCTTAATCAGAGGCTTAATCACCTCTGAAACAGAGGTGATTGTTTTGTTTAAAATGAATTGAGGTTGGCAAATGTGGCCAATGGAATAGTAGCTATCCAGAATTGATAAAAGTCAAATAACTTAAAATCATGATGGTGGAACAAGAGTGAAGGGAGAGGTGAGGTCAGACCTAGTCAACACAGTCCAGTGACTGACAGTATCTCTTGGTATCTCCCGAAGAACACTGTAGAAAGGACAGTGTAAGTGATTTACCGTGTTATTTACCAGGTGTCACAGAAGTGAGGGGGCAGGGCCCAAGGTTCACAAACAATATTGTAACAGTGAGACAGAAAAGGGATATAGAGGTTGAAAATAGCCATCTGTCCAGAATTGGTGTTAAATAGCAATAATTCATTTCACTTACTACTTGCCTAGTTGATATATATTTGAATAGAACTATTTAAAAAAAAGTCAGTGAGCACAAAGGGGCTTTTCAAAGAATTCACATGTAACATCCATGGCCAATTCTTTGACTACACGTTTTTGCTGCTTAGTCCAAAATAGCAGTAGGATTATAAAACATTTTTTTAAAGGCATGGTTTGCTCTATGACTATTCAGGCTAGTGCTTTGGCTCTCAGAATGATACCATGGATTCTTTTTTGTGTGATTTATCTCCATGATGTTAAGCTCAAAAGCTTGTGATCACATCCCTAAAATCCCAATTCATAAATTCCCTTAATAAATTGTTATAGCTCTGTTA